GTCTGGCACTTTGGAGAGGTGTTCTCTTCACGGATGAATCCCGGTTTTCACTGTACAGGGCAGATGGCAGACAGCGTGTATGGCGTCGTGTGGGTGAGCGGTTTGCTGATGTCAATGTTGTGGATCGAGTGGCCCATGGTGGCGGTGGGGTTATGGTATGGGCAGGCATATGTTATGGACAATGAACGCGTGCATTTTATTGATGGTATTTTGAATGCACAGAGATACCGTGACGAGATCCTGAGGCCCATTGTTGTGCCATTCATCCACGACCATCACCTCATGTTGCAGCATGATAATGCACGGCCCCATGTTGCAAGGATCTGTACACAATTCCTGGAAGCTGAAAACATCCCAGTTCTTGCATGGCCAGCATACTCACCGGACATGTCACCCATTGAGCATGTTTGGGATGCTCTGGATCGGCGTATACGACAGCGTGTTCCAGTTCCTGCCAATATCCAGCAACTTCACACAGCCATTGAAGAGGAGTGGACCAACATTCCACAGGCCACAATCAACAACCTGATCAACTCTATGCGAAGGAGATGTGTTGCACTGCGTGAGGCAAATGGTGGTCACACCAGATACTGACTGGTTTTCGGACCCCCCAATACAGTAAAACTGCACATTTTAGAGTGGTCTTTTATTGTGGCCAGCCTAAGGCACACCTGTGCAATAATCATGCTGTCTAATCAGCATCTTGATATGCCACAGCTGTGAGGTGGATGGCTTATCTCGGCAAAGGAGAAGTGCTCACTAACACAGATTTAGACAGATTTGTGAACAATATTTGAGAGAAATAGGCCTTTTGTGTACATAGAAAATGTCTTAGATCTTTGAGTTCAGCTCATGACAAATGGGGGCAAAAACAAAAGTGTTGCATTTATAATTTTGTTCAGTGTAGTTAGTAGACATTGAACTAACTGCAGTAATTATTTGAATTCTATAAATGAAATCTATCAATTTCACTCAAATACTTATTTCTCTCACTTTTTCTATCCACCCCCACTCATGTTTAACTAGCCTCTTTCCAGGCAACTGCGCTGACCTCTAATTAAGTAAATAACTCGTGCTCGTTTGTTTTCTCTATTGATCAAGAATAAAGCTCCAAATTGCAGTGTGTTAAATTACCAGGACACCAAACAGCAAAAACTGTCCTTTCATTTCATTATGCCTCAATTGATTATTTTTCCACTGCTTAACAAAGGTCTAACTGTGCTCAAAAGCCTTCGTTATCCCAACAGTTTCTTTCTTTCTCTCAGCCGTTGATTATGAAGAAGCGCTCGTGAAAGGTCTGGTCTCAGTTTAATGGAAGATGCAGTTTGAAGTTACAGGATCTGGTGTTTCCTGTGCTCTGTGGTTCATCGCAGTCTCAGAGGCCTGTCAGACAACATCACGGATCAACTACAAAACAGAGCATCTCTCTTTTTGAGGAGACTCAGAGAGAATAGGTGTATCTGGAAGGTCTTTTAAGGTCAGGCTTCAGCTGAAGCCCAGCGGCTCTGATTTGCTGTCTGGTGCTTTCAGCACAGCAGCTGAAAGCAAGATGTCCAAAGCTTCTCAAATAATGACCAGAGAAACACACTGAAAAATGCATTGCTGAGTGCTAGAGCTTGTATAATCCTGATATTATTTCAGCCTTTTGAAACATAATTTCAACCAAACAGTAAGTAGATTCAAACTGTTTAAAGCAAGAAGTAAAATACTATTTTTAAATAGTTCAAAATGATCAAGACTATTTAAAAAAAAAACTATTTTTTTCTACATAGTTTTTCACTAAATGAAAAGGAAATAATTATATTGGATGGAATTAAATTCACAATTGTATTGATTTATTTGTTATTATTATTATTTATTATATTATTATTATTCATTGTTATTTATTTTATACATATAATTGTTTTTGCTGACAAAGGCATCCTGTAGCAAATCAATGTGTTTTTGTAAGAAAAATATCCATATTCAAAACGTAATAATCACTTTAATGTAGCTTGCGCCAACAGATGTACACGGAAGCAGCTCCGGGCAGATGACATATGAGGTGGTGATGAGTCTCGTGAAAACCAACGTTTGTTAACAGGAGCAAAGGAAGCAACGTTTCCTTACTTTAGCAAAGGAAAACCAGTCTCCTCTAGGCTTATATCGAAATCCTCCGACATTCTTCTTTACAAATCCTCGTTTTGTACTTCTAATTCGTGACAGTTGTTTTGTTTTGATCTTTCCCCTGCACTTCCGTTATCGTCACTTCTGAGCGGCGCATGCGCAAAGCCGACGTCTTATGTCATCCGCCCGGAGCTGCTTCCGTGTACAACAGTGAGCACAAGCTAGATTAAATAAAATAAATTATTACGTTTTAAATATGGTTATTTTTCTTACAAAAACGCATTGATTTGCTACAGGAGGCCTTTATTCACCCCTCAGATCCGTGTAAGGCACTTTTTATTATGGATGGATGCGCTTTATTTCACTTCTTTTGGACTGATGAACTGCAACACCCGCTGACTGCCATTAAACAGCTTGGAAGATCAAAGATAATTTTTTTATATAACTCTGACTAGATTCATCTGAAAGAAGAAAGTCATATACACCTAGGATGGCTTGAAGGTGAGTAATTCATGGGCTAATTTTCATTTTTGGGTGAACTAACCCTTTAACTTTTTTTTTCAGTTAGTTGCCAGGGCAAATTTCTTTTATAAGTTTTATTTTTAAATTTTTTAAGTATCTAATATTTTATTTTTATCGTCAAATTATTATTATTTTTTTTTTTTGTTACTAATTTTAGTACTTCAAAACCTATTTTATTTCAATTAGTTGCCAGGGAATTTATTTTTTTACATCTAATATTTAATTTTAATCTTTATTATTTTTATTAAAGTTTTAGTTTTAGTCATTTTAGTATTTTAACTTAATTTTTTTTTTTAAGTTTTTAAGTTTTCTATTTTAGTTCAAGTTTTAGATGTTTTGTCATCTAATATTAATACTATACTAATAATACTAATTTTATATATATATATATATATATATATATATATATAAAATTAGTATTATTAGTATAGTATTAATATTAGATGACAAAACATCTAAAACTTGAACTAAAATAGAAAACTTAAAAACTTAAAAAAAAAAATTAAGTTAAAATACTAAAATGACTAAAACTAAAACTTTAATAAAAATAATAAAGATTAAAATTAAATATTAGATGTAAAAAAATAAATTCCCTGGCAACTAATTGAAATAAAATAGGTTTTGAAGTACTAAAATTAGTAACAAAAAAAAAAATAATAATAATTTGACGATAAAAATAAAATATTAGATACTTAAAAAATTTAAAAATAAAACTTATAAAAGAAATTTGCCCTGGCAACTAACTGAAAAAAAAAGTTAAAGGGTTAGTTCACCCAAAAATGAAAATTAGCCCATGAATTACTCACCTTCAAGCCATCCTAGGTGTATATGACTTTCTTCTTTCAGATGAATCTAGTCAGAGTTATATAAAAAAATTATCTTTGATCTTCCAAGCTGTTTAATGGCAGTCAGCGGGTGTTGCAGTTCATCAGTCCAAAAGAAGTGAAATAAAGCGCATCCATCCATAATAAAAAGTGCCTTACACGGATCTGAGGGGTGAATAAAGGCCTCCTGTAGCAAATCAATGCGTTTTTGTAAGAAAAATAACCATATTTAAAACGTAATAATTTATTTTATTTAATCTAGCTTGTGCTCACTGTTGTACACGGAAGCAGCTCCGGGCGGATGACATAAGACGTCGGCTTTGCGCATGCGCCGCTCAGAAGTGACGATAACGGAAGTGCAGGGGAAAGATCAAAACAAAACAACTGTCACGAATTAGAAGTACAAAACGAGGATTTGTAAAGAAGAATGTCGGAGGATTTCGATATAAGCCTAGAGGAGACTGGTTTTCCTTTGCTAAAGTAAGGAAACGTTGCTTCCTTTGCTCCTGTTAACAAACGTTGGTTTTCACGAGACTCACTGGCGCATGCGCAACACCGGCATCTTATGTCATCCGTGCTTCCATGTACAACTGTTGGTGCAAGCTAGATTAAAGTGATTATTATTACGTTTTGAATATGGATATTTTTCTTACAAAAACGCATCGATTCGCTACAAAAATCGGGGCCTTTATTCC